CACCTGGGAATATTCATGAATATCTTTTTGGAGCCCCTTGTGAGTGTAAGGGAGGGCCCCCCTCTGGTTATATCCAGAGCATTGATTGTGGGACTAAAGTAGCCTACATGGCGGCTGAACTCAATGAAAACATCGGAGGATTTAAGCAACCAAAATGGGTATGTGTTAATAAGCCCGGACTTGTTGTCCCTAATCCGACCGAGACTCTTGGAAGCTGTTCCGCCACTTGTCATTACACCCCGGCAATGCACATCTCCTGCTATACATCGGCCTCAATTTGTGTTAATAATCAAGGAAAACAGTATTTTGAGGCCATCCTAACTAACACCCGTGGAGAATGGGGGACCACTTATAATTATATTCCTTTTCTTGGTGACCGGGGAGGGGAAGGCATCACGACTCGGTTAACGGAGGCGGGATGTGAGGGCGTCGTGGGTAAACCCTCCTGCTGGCCCATGCAGGCCCCTATCGGAATCTCTGACGGAGGGGGACCCACTGATGCTATCAAACACCTTCAGGTGATTAAGCTTTTAAAGCCGGAGATCCCTAAGCCTACATACCACCCCTTGATATTGCCCAAATCCCAGTTTCCTGATTTAGATGCCAATACATTAGATATCCTAGAAACTACCTTTTCTTTACTTAACAGTTCCAATCCTACATCATCCTAGATGATGCGCAAACCCTGTCGGGAACCATTAAAGACTTACAAGACCAGATAGACTCCCTAGCAGAAGTAGTTCTTCAGAACAGGCAGGGTTTAGACTTGCTTACTGCCAATCAAGTGGGAATTTGTTTAGCCCTTGGGGAGAGGTGCTGTTTTTATGCTAACAAATCTGGCATAGTTCGCACAAAAATTAAACAACTCCAAGAAGACCTAGAAAAAAGGAGGAGGGAATTATTTGAGAACCCTCTCTGGACTGGACTTAATGGATTTTTGCCTTATCTTCTTCCCTTATTGGGACCATTGTTAGGCCTCCTTCTAGTAGTGGCAATAGGACCCTGCATTGTAAATAAGATAGTACAATTCATTAAGGATCAAATTAATATCTTAGCCTCTAAGCCAATACAGGTTCACTATCAACGCTTAAAGATGGATGATCGCCTCTCTGAGATATACTTCAGACCTATCCGAAGATGAGTGTCCTCCTTAAAAGAAGAACTCCTGCCATATCTTTTCTCTATGCATACCTCTCCCTCTTGCTTTCCTGTACTAGGATCTTTGCTGTCTAATCTCTCGGTCCAATCACATCTGCCATTCGGCGGTGATGGTCATGGGTCCCGTGGGTGGAGATGGTTAAGCGTTTACCGCAATAATGTCTTGATAGGTCATAACACCTTGAGCTGATCTTGTAGTACCCAGTGACGGGCAACTTTCACGCTTGCTGTGCGACCTAAGCCAGGGAATCGGGGCCTTCCCAGAGACGGGTAAGCATCGCAAGGGCTGTGAACGACCTAAGACAGGGGCTACTTGATTCCCACTGGCATGCAAAAAACAAAAGAGGGGGACTTGTTGGCAACAGGTCCACCTTGGCCCCTGGAGCCCTACCTCCACTAGTTTGTTCTGCATGCCAGTGTGGCCAGCTCACAAGGCCATGGCGAACTTGCGGTTTTTCTGTTCCTGCTTATCCGTCTGAGACATATGTATCCCACGGGAATGCCTTGACCTTTTCTGGTCTGATGGACTTATTGTTAAGGGAGGTTTCGGTACCTGACAATAATAGATGTTGAAACTAAATTTCTCCCCCCTCCCTCCTGCTTTTGGGTAGTTTTCCACTTCTGCTGCTTGGGGTATAAAAAAAAGGTGTGTTAGCAATAAAGATTATTATTGACTCCTGGATGAAGAACCTTGGTGTCCTGTGTGTCTTTTAACCTCGCCGTCCCTCGCCGGACTCGGCTCCCTTGGCCGGACGCGGCAGACTTAAAATCAACCATTTCTCTAAGAAGGACTAGCTCCTTTCATTTATTTATTTTTTTGGGTGGTACTGGGGATTGAACTCAAGGCCATTCAATCACTGAGTTACATCCCCATCCCTATTTTGTATTTCATTTGAAGACAGGGTCTCACTGAGTTGCTTAGCAAGCAAGCTTAGTGAGCTTAGACTCACTGAGTTGCTTAGCGCCTCTCCCTTGCTGAGGTTGCCTTTGAACTCAGGATCCTCCTGTCTCAATCTCTCCAACCTCTGGGATTAAGATGTGTGCCTCCCACCCCACTGGACTAGCTCCTTTTTAAGAAAAAACTGTCTTTTGAGAGCCAATCAGGATCTAAGACTGCCTATTCAATCAGATAGTCATTATCTGATCGTGTTTTCATTGGGTAGAACTTGAACTTTTTTTTTTTTTTTTTGTAGTGAGGATTGAACCAAGGGCCATTTTACAATGGAGCTACATCTCCAGATTTTTTTTTTTTTTTTTTTTTTTTTTTTTTTTTTATGCAGGGTCTCACTAAGTTGCTGAGGGACTTGCCAAGTGGATAAGGCTGACCTTGAACTTGTAATCCTCCTGCCTCAATCCTCTGGAGTAGTTGGGATTGTAGGTGTGTATCAACATGTCCTGCTAAAAATTTACTTTTCTTAAATGCTCTTCATCATTAGGGATATCTCTAAGGAATATAGAATCAAATAAGGGAAATAATTTCCTTTTATGCGAGTAAGCCACTAACTTGATACTTAGATTTATTTACTGCATTTCATTTTGGGGTGGGGAATACTGGGTTTGGAACCCAGGGGTGCTCTACCTTTCAGCTACATCCCCAGCCCTTTATTTTTATTTATTTATTTGGAGGCAAGATCTCACTAAATTGCTGAGGCTGGCCTTAAAGTTGCCTAGCCTATTGAGCTGCTGGGATTATAGGCATTTGCCATTGTGCCTGGCTGGCATTTTGCCTTTGATTATTTAAAATCTGATTTCATTTTGTTTCGTAATTAGGTAAAGTATTTATATCACTCCAAAGTCAAATTTCTAACCAAGGTTTATTTAGAGAAATCTAGCTCCTGCCCTGTCCCTTCTGTTACCGCTGTTTACGGCTTCCCCGAATGCTGAAGTATAACACCAGAGAAGCAAGTGTAGAGTGGAAAGTAGAAGCTTTATTAAAGGCAGCAGAAAGACTTCTCCTTGGAGGAAGAAGGGGACCCAAAAGGCAGAATCCATGGAAGGGCAAGGTCTTCCCTCTTTTATAGCTAAGGTCTTCTTTTTAGCTTTCACACATTCATGTCTTTTGTTTCCCTTTATCTTGCAGTGATAGAATGCAGGTGGGAAGGCCCAAAAGGTGGGAGAAAGGTAGAAGATGGGTGGATTGGAGGAGTAATCTGGGCAGGAAGGGCCTGGGGTGGCTTTTGATTAGCACTTCCCTGTTTGCTTGGAGCTGTTTCTTTAACAGTTCCTTAGGGTGGGTTCTGGGCCTTGGGGACATTAACATTTCAATTTCCCCCAATGCTGATCTGGTTTCCTGGACTCCATTCTCTATAATGGCCTCCATTTTCTTTATTTTACTCGATATTAGACCCAATTTACCTAACTGCACTAACTACCTATCTTTAAATCTTGCTTCACTTCCATCTTGTTCCCTCCCTTATAAGTTAACCATTTTATTTAGTAATTCATCTTTCCATTAAAAAATAAGCACATATGTATATGTGTGTTCTTCCTTTCTAAGGTAAATTATAGTGGCATCCTATGTAATTTTCTTTCTTTCTTATACTGGGGATTGAATCCAGGTGCTTTACCACTGAGCTATATTCCAGTCCTTTCTATTGCTTATTTGATATGGGGTCTTGCTAAAGTGCTGAGGTTGGCCTTGAACTTTCAATTCTCCTGCCTCAGCCTCCAAAGTGTCTGGGATTGTGCCTGTCTACTATATAAACTTTCATTTGTCTTGCTAACATTTTCTTTTAATAATAAATTAAAATCTTAAAATCATACTATAAAATAAAATCATACATAAAATTAAATTCTTAAAATCATACTATCCTTTTAGCTTAATCTTCTCTCCACATAGCTTGACAAGTATCCCCAGAAGGCAAAACTAAGTGAATTTGAGTTTTATAACAAGTACTATTATTCATTCCGTTACTTTCCTGCAAAGGTTTGTGTGGAGGGGTGGCACTTGTGGAGGCTGAGACAGAAGGAAAGCAAGTTCGAGGCCAGCCTCTCTGTTCCTTTAAAAAAAAAATAAAAAGGTTTGGCCGGGCGCAGTGGCACACGTCTGTAATTCCTGTGGCTCAGGAGGCTGAAACAGGAGAATCCCAAATTCAAAGCCAGCCTCAGCAAGGGGGCGGCTCTAAGCAACTCTTAGTGAGGCCCTATCTCTAAATAAAATGCAAAATAGGACTGGGGATGTGGCTCAGTAAGGGTACCTCTGAGTTCAATCCCTTGTACCTAAATAAATAAATAAAATGAAAAGGTCTGGTCTGGTAAATTCAATAATAGGGCGCCCCTGGGTTTAATCACCAGCGCGCGCGCACACACACACACACACACACAAAAGAAAGAAAGAAAGAAAAAGGAAAAAAAAGTTTAGAGGAGAAAGCACTTTTGTCTTAAATGAATGATGGCATTGTTCACAGGATTTTTCATTAAAATGAATTACATTCAACATAAAATTTACTATTTTAACCATTTTTAAGTACACAATTCAATGCCATTAAGTGAATTCACATTGTGCAACTATCCCCACTATCCATCCATCTCCAAAACTTTTTCATCATACCAAATTGAAACTCTAGCTATTAAACAATAACTGTCCGTTATCTTTCCAGGCTTTTTAACAAGACTGTGTCAAATGTAAGAAAGGAGCACCTGCTTCCAGGTGCAGCCTTGGGCACTGGGACAATTCTGCCTTCCCGGCCTAGGCCTAACACAGATTCTCAAAGTGACTAAGCAGGCTTTTTCAGTTAGCGCTCCCGCCCTCACCTATTGTCCCTTGGGAGGAACCGGTATTTCCGGATTGGAGCCTCAAACTCCGAGATCCTGGCTAAGGGCGAGGCTTGTGGGGGAGGGGAATGGAAACTGATCATAAAAAAGTTAACTTTTCATTAAAATCAATAGACTGTTTCCCTTCTTCCCTTAATAGAACAACGACCCCACAGCCACCCAACACGCATCCACAATACCCTACCACCCTTCCTCCCATTCTTCGAAGGGTGCCTGAGCTGCCCTCTTCCTTGCTCACACCCCAGGAGAGGCTCAAGAAGCAAACCTGGGCTCAAATAAAGAAGCCCAGCGAAGGCCTCCTGCACTTGTGCGGAGAGGAAGCTCAGTCAACTCTGCCGAGAGGGGAAGCGGCGGCAGGGGAATGGCACAGGAGCTCCGGTGACAAGGCCGCCTTCACGGCCGCCACTCCTACCCCACCGCTGGGTGGCGTGGGTGAGGGCTCCCTCTTTGCCCTTCCCTCAAGAAATCGCGTCGTTTTTTCCGGGTCTCCGCGCCCGACAATTTTTCTGATCTCTAGGGAGCAGGTGACAGCCGCCGACCACTCGCGGCTCCTGGGCCTTGGCTCTGGTACTCGCCACCGCCCAACTCCCTTTCCCCCCAATCTGGATTTTTTTTTCCTCTTCTTTTTCCCAAACCTCCAAACAGGAAATAGCTTGAGTCACAATAATACACAGGAGCGGCCGCGGAGGCCATTCGTGCACGCCCATTCCCGGGGCAGCCTCCTGTACTCCCGCTCTGCCAAGCGCTGCCAGCTACCCGCGCGGGCAGCGCAGGGGACACAAGCGCAGCCGCTGGCGCCGAGTCACAAGCACCGGCAAGCGCCTCCTTAGCCCTGCGCGGGACTCCGCCGCCGGCTACCTACTCCACCCTTCTCCAGGCGAGTACTGTCCTCCTTTTCCCTCCCAGGTCCTGGCAGAGCCAGCGGGCTTTTGCCGCTGCCCGCCGAGCGACCAGAGAGCGGCCACCTGCGTTTGGGCGTCGCCAAAGTGCCTTTCCTCCTTACGGGATTTTGGTAGGGAGGGATTTGCTGGGTGCAAAATTGTGCGGGTGCCCTGAATCGGTGGTGCCTGGAGGAATAAGGGGCAGCGCGGACAGAGGTGATCTGATATCCCCAGATCTCCTTGTGGAATTTGGGGGGGTAGTTTATTGGGCACTTTTTTTCCTCTTTAATTTTGTCTCCCTCCCCACCCCCGGGGGATAGCAGCGCGTGACAGGGGTTCTTTTAGGGAGTCATCTGAGAAGAGTGCGCACGCACCTGGGCAGCTGCAGGTGCCTAGCCCTTCTCTTCCAAAGGCTGGAAACCGTTCCACTCTCTGCTGAGCTTCTCTTTAACCAGATTAAAATGGCCTTTGAGTTTCTGTTGCAGCAGCCAACAGTATATGAGGGGGCGGGAGCGTGTGCCTTGGATGGACGTGGGCGGAGGGAGGTGCTAGCTGGAAGCAGGTGGGGGCTTCTGGGTCTACCAGCCAAATCTTCGCCGCGGGGCTCGAAAACTGCCCACTCCACCCCGCCTGAGTGGCCGCCCGGGATCTGTTCGCCTGCTTGCGCCGGCTCGGAGAGCTGGGATCTCTGTCTCCAGCGCCACAGAGCCTTGAGAAACTTTACTCTTGTTTTATTTTTACTTTTTGCACTTTCTGACCTATTTACTAGCGTGCAGCCGAGGCTGACAACATGCAGGGCGTTGCCGGTTTTCCAAGGGTTGTGTTGCAAGCTTCTTCTATAGGGAACTCTCAGTCAGAACAACTTGGAGATCTTTATGTTGGAAAAAGTCCACCGAATGCCAGGCATTCTTGGAGCTTGAAAAGGGTATTTTCCAGACTGTTCTGAAGTTTGCATGAGGGCTTTCGGTGCAACTTAGTCTCTCTCTCCTCTCTTTATCCGTGGCTGCTTCCAGGCCTAGGGGTGGGCGGGTACTGCCGGGAGGAAGTTTCTCAGTCCGTCTTTACAAACGGTGGTTAGTAGGTAAGTGAAGTCCTGAACCTATTCATTTGAAAGGTCTGATCTATTTATTCTCTGGGTTTCCTTGTTGAGTTTCGGGACATTGCCTGGGGGCCTTTTGAAATGCAAGCCGCGCCCCAGGCCAGCTGAATCAAGATCCCCAGGGGATCCGTTTATATTTTCAGTTTGAGAAGCACTGGGTTAGGGTGTCTCCGGGTGAAGTTTTCTGTCTAGTGAAAAATAGTGATTTATGACACATTTCCCTCCTGTCCTTTATTTGGATTTTCTTTTTGCCCACGGGGACAAATGCACTACAGCCAAGTGGATCACAGCTCCTCCACCCCAGTGTGATTGGCTTTTTATCAAGATTTGGAAATAACAGTTAACATATCATCCTGCAGTTTTTTTTTTTTTTTTAATTTTTTAATATTTATTTTTTAGTTTTCAGCGGACACAACATCTTTCTTTGTATGTGGTGCTGAGGATCGAACCTGGGCCGCACGCATGCCCGGCGAGCGCGCTACCGCTTGAGCCACATCCCGAGCCCCATCCTGCAGTTTTTGTTTCAGGATATTTTTTTTGTGGCAAATATACATAGTATGGTATTTACCATTTTAACCTTTTTATTTGGACAACACTGAATATATATATGTTTCTATTGCACAACACTGAATATATTTCAATGCCATGATTCAATGGCATTGAAATACATTCATTGTTGTGCAATAGAAACTCTGTACCCATTTCTTTCCTTGGACTTCTGGTTTTTTTTTTTAGTACCAGGGATTGAACTCAGGAGCACTCGACCACTGAGCCACATCCCCAGCCCTATTTTGTATTTGATTTAGAGACAGGGTCTCACTGAGTTGCTTAGCGCCTTGCTGTTGCTGAGCTGGCTTTGAACTTGTGATCCTCCTGCCTCAGCCTACTGAACTGCTGGGATTACAGGCCTGTGCCACCGAGCCCAGCTTCTGGATACTATCTCTCTCTCTCTCTCTATATATATATATATATATAATTTTTTGGTAGGGAACAGAAAAGGTTGAATAGGCATGTAAAAGTGAAAGAAAAATCATGTGGGCAGAATATAAACAAACATTTGGGGATTCCTGAATGGATAAGCACTATGTATAGCTCCTGGTTCTTGGTGTGCTTTCTTTTAATAGAGACAAGGTAGACCCTGAGGATTTCCTTTTTGTTTTGACTGGAATGGAATGGACTTTCTCACAAGGCTCCCTCTGCACTAATTAAGCATTGTTGCCTGGTAATCTCTTACTCTGCACTTCTTTTAGTGGCATTACTTAGGTGTCCGGTTGATATTCAGAATAAGGGATTAGAGATGTAGGTCAGTGGTAGAGTGTGAGACCCTGGGTCTCGCCCCAGCACCGTCCAAAAAAAAAAAAAAGTTGGAATAAACCTTAAGAAAAAAATTATTGTTTCATAAATATTGGAGGAGGTTACAGCAAGACATTAAAAAAAAAAAAGATTTGAAATAACTTTCCAGAATACCCCAAACTGTTTTATTTCTGCTTTAATGTTAAATACAAGTAATGATCCAGCAACATCATTCTTAGTTGTAGAAAAGTGTGCATAAACTTAGAAAGCTTTCTAATAGTGAAAGCCATTTGTTTCTATCCTCTTAAAATGATCCAGCTTGTGATTTGAGGGCATACTTTTCAGTGAGAACGTAACTGAATTGGTGAATAAAATGTTTCATTTATCATCTAAGTCACTGTTATAGATCAAGAATGTGGTTCAGGGGCTGGGGTTTAGCTCAGCAGTAGAGTGCTCGCCTAGCATGTGTGAGGACCTGGGTTCGATCCTCAGCACCACAAAAAATTAAATAAAACAAAATAAAGATATTGTGTCGAACTACAACTAAAAAAATTAATGTGCTTCAGGAGCTGGGTGCCCCTGGTGCAGGCCTGTACTCCTAGCAGCTGGGGAGGCTGAGGCAGGAGAATTGGGAGTTCAAAGCCAGCCTCAGCAAAAGCAAGTTGCTAAACCTTTCAATGAGACCCTGTCTCTAAATTAAACAACAACAACAACAACAACAACAAAAGATAGGGCTGGGGATATGGCTCATGGCTGAGTGCCCCTGAGTTAAATCCCTGATACCCCCCACTTCCTTCCCCCCAAAAAAATATGTGGTTCAGAATACATTAGTGGTCAAGGATTTGGGAAAACTTAATAAACAGCTGAATAGTGGAGATCTCTCCTATTCTTCCTGAGCTCTGTCTTATATTTCTTAAGACCCTTGACTTTGTGCTAAAGCTTTTATCAGAATGAGGTTATTAACTTTTAGAAAGGAATTTACAGCTTTGTGTGATTGATAAGTGCCTTTGAAGTGATTGAAGATAATTCAAAAGGGAAAGATTTAGCAGAAAATGCTCTCTCTATGGAAGATTCTTGCTTTCTCAGAGTTTCAGAATGATTCATTCCTTTTAATTCTGGTGAGGCAAAAGAGAAAGATTTTCTCCTTCCACCAAATGTTCTTTTCTGAAGTAACGATATATGCAGTGTTTTAACCAGTGAACAAATGCTATTTTGCAGTCCATACATGAGAGAAAATTTCAAATGAGTGGGTTCTTGTTGTTGTTGTTGTTGTGTGTATAGTCCTGGGGATCAAACCCAGGGCCCTACATAACCATGCTAGGGAAGCACTCTGCCACTGAGCCACACCCCCAACTTCCAATGAATGGTTTTATCAGTGCTTCATGATGTCTGGGGCATCACCTGGGAACTTTGTAAAAATGGAAATATTATCAAATATTCCAGATTCACTAAGTCAGAGCCTTTGTAGATTTAATAGAACCAGGGTGATTCTGATATAAAATTAGGTTTGGGAATCATTTGGATGAACATGCATAAACATGTATGCACACTTGAACACACATACAAACTAAAATGTTGTAATTTTTCTTTCTCTTTTTCATGCTGGAGATTGAACCCAAGGCCTAGCAGATACTACACACATGCTATATAGTATACTGAGCCACATCCCCAGCTCCTCATGTATGGATATTGTAAAAATTAATCTGAAAGTACAAGAAAATATTATGTTAATTAATTATTTTACTTAATGTTTTAAACTATTTCTTTATTGTGGTAATGAGGGCCTTGCTCATGTTAGGCAAGTACTCTACTACTGAGCTATATCCCCAATTCTGTAATTTTAATTTAACATAAAAAAATTAACCATAGGTTCATCTCTGAAATTAGATAGTTCAAGTTTGGCAGGTCTAATCAGTACCTCTTTACTCCTTCTTCTTCTAATCAATTATTTTAGGTATTGATCATTTTTTTTTTAAAAGCACTTTTTCCTTTTTTTAAAATATTTATTTTATTTTAGTTTTTCGGCGGACACAACATCTTTGTTTGTATGTGGTGCTGAGGATCGAACCCGGGCCACACAGATGCCAGGCGAGCGTGCTACCGCTTGAGCCACATCCCCAGCCCCGTATTGATCGTTATTGACGTTTAGACTCCCAAGGGTCCAGAAGAACCACTGGTCCCCAGCTACTGGACTATTTTATTATCAAAGAAATATGCCTATTGTGAATCAGGGATTTAAGGCACATTGTTATATTTACAACAATTTTGAGAGTTTTTCTTGTTTTCTCACTTCACAGAAGAGAAAATTGAGGCCACCATGGGTTCAAGTAAGTCTTGAACCCATGGATCTTTTCATAGTCTTTCCATATAGAATTATAAGTCCCTGCTTACTTACTCTCCCTCACCACCAACAGGCTATATATTAATTCATTTTTCATTTAATGCTTTTGGGACATCAGGTCCTGCATTAGTCCCCAAAGCAAATAAAAAGATGGTCAGGGCTGGGGTTGTAGTTGCTCAGTGGTAGAACACTTGGCAAGCATGCATGAGGCCCTGGATTTCATCCCCAGCAACACACACACACACACACACACATACACACAC